GCCCCCAAACCACGGCAGTGCTACTGACTAAATAATAATAATAAATAATAATAATAGATAGCATTTGTATAGCGCATATCCCCGCTCAACAGCAAGCTCTCTGCGCTTTACACTATATTATTACCCTAGCAGACCATAGAACACTCAGAAACATTCTCAGCTCCTGGGAAGCATACAGAAGATGTCTTTAGGCCATTCCCAATAGGGGGGGGGGAGATATTAACATGTTCTTTTGCACAGTAGAATTGTAAATGGGCTAATTTCTTAATGTCATGCCCATACTGTGCCGGAACAAATGGGGAACTGCTGCTTTTTCTTTCCTCATTCTTACTATCGTCATTTTTCCGCTACTTCTTTTGTATGTTTGTCACTCTTGTGAACTGCTATGTCCAGGGTGCCTTGATAGTCGAAGCAGATTTTGTGCTGTTGAGGTTAGAAAGGTGAACCTAGTAAGCCTGGTTCCCCGTGTGGACTTCTCTGTTGAGATCAACCCCTTGGCGCTCATAATATGACCTTATGCAGTTGCGAGCGCCGTAATACCTTACTAAAACTAGAAGAGCCAACAAGCTATGTGGTCCTGCCCGGCGGATCTCCAACCAGGTTCGAACTGGAACTGTAGGCAGATGGACTTATAGTGCGGCAAAAATTCGTGGCGCAACTTATTGTCAATTAATATTTCTTAAATTATCGAACATAGACTCTCCAGCTTTTGCACAATGACTCGTATCAGTTAATCTTAACTGATCAATATCTTTGTTAACACCTGTTAGCTGCATTTAAAAAAATTCCTTAATAAATACTAATTTAAAGAATCAAAGCGGGTGGTTTCTACAGATTTTAAAAGGTTTACAGCTGGGCAACATCGCTTTTACAAGCAAGTCCGTCAGGTTCTTCTAACCGTGACACTATCTTTATTAAACGCATGTCTTGAGAACCTTTAGTGCAAAAAATTTGTTCACCATAAAATCAATTTCTTAAAACAGGTTTTGTTACTAAAAGTGTCATTGTTGAGCTGCGACGTAGGCCATAATAATTATATGCGTATGAAGAAGGTGTGTGTAAAAAGCGGGAAATGCTGTAAACAATTCCATTTTCCGCGTGAAAGAGATTTGTAGTATTTTATGTACATTCATGAAGAAAAGTATTTAAATCTAGCCTCAATTGTTGTCAGAATATATGATTAAGTTAAGACAAATTGATACACACAGCTGTGAAAAGTATGGAAGATGGCATTGATTCACCCAAGATAAAACTGTGTGTTTGAGTATAAATTGCGCCACGAATTTTTGACCGCACTCTTTTTGTAGGTCGGATCCTGAGAAGAAAGGGGGGGGGGGAG